GTCAAAAAAATGGGGTACAGCAGTCAACATTGTAATATAATCTTAAATATTTTAAAAAAGAGACAAAGTACAAAAGCAAAAATGCAAGACAAGAACTCAAAATTGGTCATAGCACAATAACACAATTGCGGGATGTATAAGTACCGATCCTCGTCATAAGTATATAATAAAAAAATGGATAAACAGTCAAGGTTAAGAATATGCAAGGACAGAAAAGGGGAATTTTTACACGTAATTAAGATGATAAACAACGTCAGTACCTAGTATCTATACTTCAAGACCATCATGTATTATTTGTGAAGTTGAAACGAATATTTATCAACAAGGTCTTGGTATTTTCCAATGATCTTTTTTAAAAACACCAAACTGTCATAATAGGAAATAGAACACAATTGGTAAGTTTGGAGATAAGATGACTTGTTGGTTTCTTCGTTTAGGTGAACTGGTTGTGATGCTGACTTCTATCAATAGCTGTAACTGGTGTTTTATCGATTCATGTAATTATTCCATAAAGCACTTATGTAGGATTCTTCTGTATTACGATTACACCCCTGTTAACAAAGCCTTAATAATGTGAACATGCACCTGCGTTACATATCAACTGTGAAATAAAACGATATATGGGGAAGAGGGGATAACCCATATTGGTATATATAAGTATTTATAGATTATTACATGACATTTTCCATATTGGCCTTGGTATCAGCCCTAGACTCCCATATCAAGCCAGAGGGCTTTAACCCGAGGGCTTGATATGGGTCGTGGGCTGATACCACGACCAATATGGAAAATGACATGTAATAAAATTGATAATGGAAATGGGGAATGTGTCAAAGAGACAACAACCCGACCATAGAACAGCAGAAGGTCACCAACAGGTCTTCAATGTAGCGAGAAATTCCCGCACCCGGAGGCGTCCTTCAGCTGGCCCCTAAACAAATATATATACTAGTTCAGTGATAATGAACGCCATACTAAACTCCAAATTGTACACAAGAAACTAAAATTAAAAATAATACAAGACTAACAAAGGCTAGAGGCTCCTGACTTGGGACAGGCGCAAAAATGCGGCGGGGTTAAACATGTTTATGAGATCTCAACCCTCCCCCTATACCTCTAGTCAATGTAGAAAAGTAAACGCATAACAATACGCACATAAAAATTCAGTTCAAGAGAAGTCCGAGTCTGATGTCAGAAGATGTAACCAAAGAAAATAAACAAAATGACAGTAATACATAAATAACAACAGACTACTAGCAGTTAACTGACATGCCAGCTCCAGACTTCAATTAAACTGATTGAAAGATTATGTCTTCATCATATGAATATCAGGCACAATCCTTCCCGTTAGGGGTTTAGTATCATACCATCATAACATATATGAGAAGAACATAACCCGTGTCATGCCAACAACTGGTTTTTAAATAAATGTGTTTAGTGCCGATGCAAAGACCCTATAAGTGAATCAATATTAACGCCAAAATATGCAATCTTTAATGACCTGACAACAGTATCGTAACTATATCCCTTCTTAATAAGTCTATTTAAAGGTTTTGTTAGCTTCAGAGGTGAATACTGACATTTTTGTGCTTTATAAAGAATATTTCCATAAAAAATTGGATGTGAAATACCTGAACGTGTAAGAAGTCTGCATGTTGAGCTATATTTACGAATGATGTCCTTATACCGATGATAAAATTTAGTAAATGTTTTGACTAGTTTGTGATATCGAAAACCCTGGTGTAATAATTTTTCAGTAATACATAAATTTCTCTCGTTAAAATCTAAAACATTGTTACATACACGAGCGAATCGTACAAGTTGAGATATATAAACACCGTAAGATGGTGACAAGGGAACGTCACCATCTAAAAATGGATAATTAATGAAAGGAAATGAAAAAATCATCTCTTTTATCATATATTTTAGTATTAAGCTTTCCGTTAATGATATAGATATCAAGATCGAGGAAAGGGCACTGGTCATTGTTAGTATTAGCTTTATTTAAAGTAAGTTCAACAGGATAAATTTCTTTAGTATACATACTGAAGTCGTCATTATTGAGAGCCAAAATATCATCCAAATATCTAAAAGTATTATTAAATTTGTGTATCAGATGTTGTTTCGATGGGTCTTTGCTGATTTTTGTCATAAATTGTAACTCATAGCAATACAAAAAAAGGTCCGCAATAAGTGGTGCACAGTTAGTCCCCATTGGAATTCCGATAACCTGACGATATACGGAATCTCCAAAGCGAACAAAAATGTTATCTAGTAAAAATTCAAGGGCATATATAGTATCAAAGCACGTCCAATTGACATAGTTTTTTTGTTTATTGCTACTAAAAAATGACCTAAAAGAGTTTGAACATATATATTCACATTCTGACTTTTTAAATGTCCATTTAATTAGGTGTGTGAATTTTTTCTTAATGAGAATGTGAGGCAATGTAGTATATAGGGTAGAAAAATCAAAACTTTGAACAGATTCAAAATCACCAATATATGCATGTAATTTATCAAGTACTTCCAACGAGTTCTTGACACTCCAAAAGTAATTAATTCCACTATTTTCGAATGCCTTATTTGAACAATTTATTATCAGGTTTTTGATTGTACCAAGTGTACTACTAAGAAGAATAGACAATTTAGTAGTGGAACAATGGTTTGAAGACGAAATGAATCTATATTTGTAAGGTGTTTTGTGTAGCTTCGGAAGCCAATACATAGTTGGGAATTTCATTGTATTTGGTTCTGCTTGTAAAGCGGTAGCTAAAAGTTTATGTTTGTTACAGATGTCGTTTTCTGAAAATGGAGTCAGTTGGAATGTTGGTGAATTGGTGATTTCTTTTTTCAGAACCTCAATGTAAAATTTACGTCAAACAATAATAATATTATTAGCAGCTTTATCGGCCGGGACAAAAACAAATTCCTTGGCTAGTTCTTTTAGTTTATGTCTGATACGAGAAATAGGTTTATTGTGGTTATTGTTTCGAGTAAAATGTTCTTTAAAATGTTGAATACGTATATCAACTATGTTCATTACTGAATTAAAAAAAGAGTCCAAAGATTTTTTGTCAGCTTTTTCCCGTTTTATCCATTTCAAACAGTAAGTATGGAGTGAGTCGTGGATGATATTACGACACTCATTCCAATTAATAATTGACGGGGGACGATATTTAGGTCCTTTACTGAGGAATGATTTTAACTCTCGGTCTTGAACGATGTTAAGATCTCCTGTTATAACATGGGAAATGGGTCCATAAATGTATTTGGAATAACTGCAATTACATGAAGTAGGTGTATTTTCACTGATATTAACATCTTTACACAATTGGCTATAATTAAACACAAATTTCCGGGTAGATTTCTTGTAAATATAACAAATAAGAGGGAGCTCAGTATTATCAAAATATCCCGGAATTTGTTCTTTAACAGAATGGTCGTTAAAAATACCGGCAATATTTACAAAATCAAAACCTTTATTGACATACTTTATTTTAATAAACTGTTTTTTATGATCTTCAGGGCGATCAATTTTGGGAAACAGTTTAGAATAACAATATGCCATTATAATTTGAACGATTTCATACTTAGGACTGTTATATGAAATTGTGTTGCAATCCTCTAAAATTTTATTTAACTTATGAACCGGTAATGAACAGAGCTTTGTTAACAGATAATGTCTGCCGTTGTTTTTTGAAATAGAAATTAGGTCCGAAATATTGGTATGATTGGTCCGAAATTTTCTTTGATTGCGATTTTTTCTACGACCATGAGAACGGTTTTTACGAACAGTTTTAGAAACTATATCCAAAATGTTAACAGAATCGGTTCTTGATATATTACCAATTCCCATGATATTATCATTAAGATCGAGAGGGTAGACTGTCTGTAATTTTTTAATCCAATTTAATTCAATTATTTTCCGTGATCGTACAAACTTTGAATGAGATTCACCAGGCTGCTTATTTACTACTTCTAAAGGTTGAACTGCTAAATATTTAATAGGATGATTGTGCTTCTTAAGGTGTTGATAAATGATACTTTTGAATTTATTGGGTCTTTTAAAACGATACAGATGTTCTTGAGTGCGTTTAGATAAATATCGTCCAGTTTCACCTACGTACTGAATACCGCATCCCGGTTTGTTTCATGTGAGTAAATAAATAATAATCTATTTATCACAAATTTTCAAGCTGGAGAAAAAAGAAAGCGTATATCAAATTATGTTTAATATTTTTTTTCAACAAAAATTCAAAAATCATTTGAATAAAAAAAATCAAATAAATGTATCACAGTGAGTTAACAAAATTCGTATCACAGTGAGGAAACAAAGTTTTGTGAAAAGTTTAACAAATAATTAACAATAAACATATTATTTCTCAGAGTTATAAATATTAAGTGTTACATTTCCGATTGATGCTGAGGAAGAATACACCTTATCGCTAATTGGAAATCATTTCCGCTTGACTCGAGAATCTGTTCCGCTTGAACTTTCGATGTCATACAACAATCACTTTTCCATTGTGGCGTCATATATTTTCTATTATGACGTCAAAATTTTACGGGATCTTTTGTGATATTCAGTAATGGCGGACAAATAACTATTTCAACTGTTGATTTTTACATTTTTTTCTGCTACAGCAGATTCATAACTTTCTACTGTTTTACAGACTTCATTTTTTTTTTCATTGTGTTTTCATTTTTCATTTCTTGTTTGAATTTACTTGCATCGTCATTTGATACTGGGAGAAACCTCTCCTGATCGTCTAGCTGCTTCAGATGACATCTTGTTTACAAATAGTTTTTGATTGACAGGTTACCGGATTTCAAATTCGGGGGCTCGATATGGATTTCGAGGGCTAATATCGATATTGGCCCCGAGGGCAAATAACCAACCTTGACTTCCGGCTATTATTGGCCAGGCAAAAACGTACATATTAGTACAAAATGTGTGATAAATCTTGTTATTACCTTTATTGCTTTGACTGTTTCAGAGATAGATTTATTGAAAGCAACAACATGCAGGGTGAACAGGCTAAAGACTACAAGACAAAATATTTAGATTGGTTTCGAGATTTTTTCCTGAAAGGAGGAGAGAAGATGACAGAGGATAGTTTCGTTAATAAGATGACAGAGGAATATAACAAAGATGGTAAAGAATTTGAGAAAACTATAAGACAACATATGTCTGTACTGGTATCGATCACAGATGTTAACAAAGATAATATGATATCCAAAGATGAGTTTGTAGAGGCACTGAGGGCAATGGGATTGGTTACCTTTGATGAGAAGTATTTTAACGCATATCCTCAAGTTAAACCGAGTTGCATAGAAGCTAATCTATTTCTGCAAAGTTGGGTCGAGTATTGCTGTAACAGTGACGATAGTAACGTTAGTAATTTGGAGAAAGCTCGTCTGTATGGATTTAGAATTATTGATACTATTTAATGATTCATTTTCTTTTATTATTCAATCATATGACATTAGAATGAACACTGTATCACTAAAGTATCTATAGATAAATAATAAACTTTTTAAATATATTCTTTCATACTGCCAAGGCGTTGGCCCTCTCCCATTTTCAGTTACAAGAAATGAAAACCATTCGTAAATAACTATTACTACAAATAAAACGAATCCGAGTTTTGTGGTCCGGGTTTGTTCAAATTAATTTCAGTATTTTATACTATGGAATTCTGAGGATTGAAGGATATACAAGTAATAGCTTTTCTAAAAAGCTTGCCGTATTTTAGCTGCTTATACATGTATTGAGATCGGTGGTTTGTGGGTATAGGGTTTTTTTTATTGGAATCTTAAACTCCTAGCATTAGAATATATAGTGCCTTTTTACTCCTGGTTTTTGATTTTAGTTGTAGTATTGGTGAATCAGGGTTATCATTGAAGGAGGCTTGATAGTCACATATGATAATATATATATATGGTTTGTAATAGCTAAAGTTACGATACAAACACTTTTTTGTCTGTTTTGTGGAATATGATTGTTTACTCTTTATGACAATGCAATTAGTTTTATCATGCATACTGTGTCTTGACAGTTATGTAATAGTTAGCAAGGTTATAATCAAGTTGATAAGAAAAACGTATTATTTACTTTTAAGGATTACTGCTAGACAAAATGGACTACCAGTGGCAGATCTAGAAATTTTCATAAGAGGGGGCCAGCTCCAGTCATGATTCAGTGATTCACTACATGTATATGATCAACCAAAATTTTCCCACGAAAGGGGGGGGGGGTCCTCTGAAAAACTCTCTAAATCCGCCTCTGACTACTATAGTTGGTCCTTCGAATATGAGAATATTACATCTTATATGTATAGAAGACAGTGGTCTCTTTAGCCCAAATTAGAAAGGCGCCGCACCCTGAGTGCCCTTAGCCATGCCCTGGGTGCCTTCAATTGCGCCCCTCCCTGATGCCTTTTTCCAAGGGGGGGAGAATAGTAAGTTTATTTCGCTTCTTTTGGTTAATAGTGATCTGTTGTATGAATGTGTATTAACATGTTTAATGAACATGTAGTATGAATGACTTTTCTAATGCAAATTTTATAGAGCAAATAATCAAAACAACAACTTATGCATCTTTATTAACAACATATACAGTAAAAAAAAATGTGAACTCGTGATACACACAGAAACGTAGACAAAAGAAATGAGAAGTGCCTTTTCCTATCATAAAAAAGTGTCCTGCACTTCACTGGCACCCTGCCCCTTTCTATTTCTAGCTGGAGCACTTCAAGTGATGAATATCTCATCTGGCTTTTGTCTTAGAAGAAGCAATTAGTTTTGAAGGTACAGGTTAAGTTTTGTTATTACTAATTTCCAGATGTAGTATAACTGTAAGAAGATGTTTTGTGGTAATGGATTTGGAATGAAATATTAATTGCAAATAATTTTCTAGAACATGTTGTCAGCTGGCTTCTTATATTTTTTATTATTTTGTTGCGGTTTGTAATCTTGACATTTTTTTTGTAAGTTCTATAGATGAGAGCTTCATATTGGTATTATCATTTAGTGCTTTATATTTGGTTGCATGTGTAAGCATATGCTTTTGTTAGTTGGAATATTTATATCTTCATTTCTGATGGCAACAAGTTCATGTAATACATATAGTCAGGATTATTAGTAAGCGATAGTTGTTTTGTTTGTTTATGTTTATTGTCATGATTGATATGGACTATATAACTTGCTGTTTGGTGTGAACCAAGGCTTCATGTTGAAGACCGTACTTCAACCTATAATGGTTTACTTTTACAAATTGTGACTTGGATAGAGAGTAGTCTTTGGTACTGATATGACATTCTGATATATCTATCGACAAGATTGAGAACACTTTTTTTTGTAATAAAACATATTTAATTCTATGATATCATACTCAACAATTTATCGGTAATTTGTGCATTTTTCCTTTTTGATGTGTACTCTCTGATAATGTCAGTATCAGTTGACTGGTCGTGATATATAAATTATTGGGTCAGTTCGCAATTGACATGCTCAGGTGCGCTGTGTCAGGATCTTCTTTCCCCTTTCATTCACAAAATCATGCATGATTTTTTTTTTTTGCAGAATCGCAAGAGTGTTTTGGTGAATGAAACACTTCTCATTTTGTTTGAAAGTTTCAGTAAAGTTAGTTTTGCCTTTTTGACAGATTGTGTGAAAATTCGAACAGAATATGAATAAAAAACACAATAAACTTTTAAAAAATGCACCACTATTAATAGCTTTCCTTGCTTATTCACAATGATGTACAAAATGTATAAATATATCATTCATGCTATTCCGATCTGAGTTTTTATTCATACATAGTCTGGTGCTGTTCCAAGTAGTCTTCTTTTTCTGTTTCTTGAGAAGTATTTGTTTTACCTGTTCAGTCACTTTAAAGTGTTACAATTAATATTTAGACGCAACACAGAATAGTGACCAAAAAGGTACTGCTATCATATGAGAGGAGCTAGAAAAAAAAAATGAAATGTACACATTATCAACATTTTTGTGGGACCATCAAGATATGGTTTCATTGACTTTTTTGTCAATATATAGACAGATATTCATAGACCAAATAACAAATAAGCAACAAATTCAAAAGTAGATATAGGATGAATTATAGAAAGAAGGGGTACCCGGGGGCCCGAAACTTGACAAGGTTTGGTTTGGAACAAGTAATATGTCTGCATTAACATTAAATGTAGGTTTTAAAAGGGGGACCCAGATCGCCTTTCCCTAAATCCTTTTCTGAAATTAAAGGTAACCGCATATTTCTGGCCGCAGTTGAAAAATAAATGAACATGACTTTGAAAAAGCAAGAATATTAAGCTAAAAGAAATAGACCAAATTTGGATGACATCTATTAAAATGTTTGAAATAATTATGAAGTTGACAAGAAATGAACTTGTTCAGATAATATACAGTCAGCCTACAGACTTGTTGCTTCCTGAAATGTCTGCTTACACAGTCATGCTTTCCTAAAATGATTTGTAATGTGATCGTTTTCATGATGAATGATGAGCAAACATAGATTATGCCGTTGGTTTTCTCGTTTGAATTGTTTAACATTGTTATTTTGGGGCCTTTTATAGCTGACTATGCAGTATGGACTTTGCTCATTGTTGAAGGCCATAAGGTGACCTATAGTTGTTTATTTCTGTGTCAATTTGGTCTTTTTTGGAGAGTTGTCTCATTGGCAATCATACCACATCTTCTTTTTTTATATTTTAATGACAAGATAAATGTTATGTTACCCACCCAACTAAGTAAAATATATAACTTCTTGTTGAACTTCTAAAACAACGATAAATCTGCTGATTCATATCATATCATTCAATGCTGTCAGATGCTATGTGAAAAATAAAGAAATTTACCTTAATGTATGCTTCCATTATATTCGGCATTGTTATTCAGTTATGTTCAAAGCAGAACTTATGAAAGGCATGCAATAATTTATTTTCAATAGATGCATTTGAAAAATTTATTTTCGGCACTAGTAAAGCAACGTCTATGTTCATGATGTCATGTGATCATCTATATCAGTCAGGGGACTTATTGAAATAAGTGATTTTTAATTTAAGTAGCAAATTCAAAGTTTTGTCACAAATTGTGATTTTGTTGTTTTACCAAAATTTTAAACACATACATGTAGGTTTAGATCATATCTTTTCATTAGTAAAATTAAAAAAAAATATACTTTTTGCTTCTTTTAAGCAGAAGGTTTATGCCTTTGATGCAATCATTTAGCTGCAAATTCTATTTTAGTTGAAAAAATGCTATAAAAATGACTTTACATAATGAACTGATACTTTCTTAACAGATTTTTCCCAGCAGTGGGAGTACTGTTCCTGTAAAATTCAAGGATCATTCAAGGACTCCAAAGAATAAATCATCATGTACGAGTCCCATTTAACTGTCTACCCCACATGCGAACATCATTTGGGACCTCGCTGTGTTGCAAGTATCTTGGGTTTTCAGGCATATTAATTCAAATTGCTCATTGGACATTGCTGCCTTTTTTAATTTCATCTATCTATAGTCGTAGACGTCCAGCTAGAGGGGTCATTAAACAAACTATAGTGCACTGAAACCCTTGCCAATAACTAAACCGTGATGCTTGGTGTTTGCTTCCTTGCACACACGCAACCATATTACTCACCTTGTTTGTTTTCTATTCTTCTAATCAGCTGTTTATCGGCAGAGACATATAATATTATTATATGTCTCTGTTATCGGCAATTGTCTGTTTTGTTTACATCGGAAATCAATGAAGCGGTGAATACGCGGGGAAACGAAAGGGCATCTTCGTATCAATACGGTAAATTCCGTGATTTGAATATTTTCTAATCAATATGTTCAAGCAATGAAAAATGTGAGGATAACATTTTTAATCATAGAGCACACGTTTTGTGTATTTACTATTTATAATTATAGTTTATGAAGAAATATAGCAAAATATGTTTCAATACGCACTATAAAGTGTAGATTAGATGTATTATTGTTTTGTTTTTGAAAGAACATTAATAATCCATAATTACACACCTTTGTACCAAAATTGCAACAAAATTTCAAGATAACATAAATTTCATCATCACAGAATGATATTATTTGCTCAAATTGACAGGGCTTCGAGAACTAAATTTGGCTTAAATTATGATAGCAATTGAACACTTCATTATAGTTTCTACCGATGACCTACTATCATGATTTTTATCTGACCCCACTTACGGACGCGTTGACATATAATGCATACAACTCAATAATAGCCAATCATACGTTAAAATATCCTTCACTTCCCCCAGAAGCAGCCCGGAAGCAGCTGAGATGCAGCCATTTAATGTTATTTATAACCAATGAGATACCGTTAACAGATTAACCACATTCCAGACGTCCAGCCTCTGACTAATCAGACCGTATCACCATGGTGATACGGTAATAACATACATTTCCACGGATGGTTTAACCTGAGAATTTATTTGGAGTAGAAATCGTATGATCATTATATTTTTGAAAAATCACAAAAAAATGAAAACCGCAATAGAAG